CAATTAATTAATGCGTACTGTAAAATGGTTCAGCTATACTCCAGTAAAGAGGCATACATCACGAAATCACCCAACAAATTGAGAGGAAAACACTTTTCTAGGGCAATGCTAGGCTAATGCCATTGTTCATGTGATAAGCCCTTGGTTGCTAGGCACCCTGTAAACAAATCGCAGGCCACATGATACTATTCATAGACTATAGGGAACTAAGGAAATGAGTTGATTCATCTTAAACCCTTTGGACGCCATGGGTATCTCCTTAAATAAGCAGAAATTGATGTATAACATATTGACGCCTAGTATTATAGCCATATATAAATTCTTATGGACTTATGGAGGCTCTGGGCATAATATGCCTGTGGCTGGCTAAGGGTTCAGTAATTACTGAAATGGAAGGACTTGCTCCAGAAAGGTTTGGGGAAGTGGCAGACTTTTTTCAAAGAGAGACAGAAATTGGCATAATATTTTAGCTAAGACAGGGATATGGATTATGTAGAGCACCCACAATACACTAACAAGGAATCAGGACAGAAAAGAAGGTGTCTTACGGAAGAGAATGGACTGGCTCCTGACACGACTTGTTTTGGAGTGGGTGTGGTCTGGAGAAGAGGGAGAGAAATGGGGGGTAAAGATTGGCGAAAGAAAACATACAAATATTATACAAACCATGTGCGACGTTTTCATACATCGAGGTGATAAACGAACTTTTGCACCCTACGAAAAATTCCACTATACGAATTCACACAACAAAGTTCTAGGACCATGCTAAGCCTGCGCTTTCTTTGGTTTCTAGGCACCCAGGAAACAAAACAGTAAATCGCAAGCCACAAGGTAACTTCCATAGGCTGTTTCCAGTGAAGAGAGTGATGTTGCCAGGGAACAAGGAGTGTTGGAAAAAAAAATGGAGTAGGGTTATTCATCTCGAAGGAACAAGAGCGATACAAATGGGGTAAAGATTGGTGAAAGAAAACGACAAACCTTTTGCGACGTGATCGGTGTCTTTTCAGCTCGGAGAGCCTGAACTTGCTCCTCCAGGGATGCAATCTGGGCCTTTTGAACATCATTTTGTTCTTTCAGTGCTTCATTTTGCTCTTTCGTTGCTTCATTTTGCTCCCTCAGGGCATGATTTTCCCCATCTTTTTGGCGGATTTGCTGATCGATTTGGATTCCCTGTTGTTGGATGTTGAGGTTTCTGGACTGCAGCAGTTGAGCCAGTGACAGTTTGTTCACGTCATATTCACCATCTTCAACCTCGGCTCTGGCCTCCTCCAGCAACCCCATCACTTGCTGGATGGTCGGTCTCTCTCTCATCCGGTTCTTCAGGCACCGCTGGATCATTTGGACAAGGGGATGCCCCTCCCGGAATTGCCTCCTTACCTCCCGCATGTAGTTGCCACGACGCTCAAACTCTGTTCGACCCACCATCCTCTCACTGTCGTCCATGTACGCTGCTGCCAGAGGTCTGGGAAACATTTGGGAAGAGTGAAAATTGCGAGAACTCCGAGAGAGAAGATATCGATTGTGACGTCGTATCTCGATTCGTCTTCCAGAGCCTCTGGAGGCATGTAGATGGAGGCTCCTGGTGCCTTGGTCATGGTGGAAGCTCGCAGACTCGGCACGATGCGAGCCATGCCCAGGTCGGCTATCTTGGCCACCATCCCCTCGTTCAGGAGAACGTTTCTGGCCGACAAGTCGCGGTGGATGATGGGCGGAGAGTGGCTGTGCAGGAACGAGAGCCCGCGGGCCACGTCGTGAAGGACGGAGCGTTTCAGAGAGACGGGGACGAAGGGCTTGGTCGGCGGCGGAGGCTCGGGATCCAGAATGTCGTGGAGACTGGTCGCCAGCTTCTCCATGACAAGCGCCGGCATCCGCGAGCCGGGCAGGAAACACACGCCAAGGAACTGGACGATGTGCGGGTGGCGGAGGGTGCTCATCAACTGACACTCTCGCGCGAACTCCTTCCGCGCTTTCTCGATGCCTTCGCGCGGCATCTGCCTCGGGTCTTGGAAAAAGTCGTGGATCTTCTTGGCGGCGCACACGGCTCCTGGAATTGCCACCTCCTCCACGCTGCCGTACGAGCCAGTCCCGATGGTCCTGCCCGTGGCTCGAGCGGAGGAGAGGAGGAACGGACGAAGGTTGGGATGGTCGCGGAGGAAAGACGCGGCCAAGGACTGGGCGGCCATTGTGTGCGGAGGAGGGGCTCGTAAACCAGTAAACTTCCGGATATCTGTGCTAGTAGTCGCTTTTAGGCGTGGTACTCCGTGTATAAGAGTATTTTTGTATATTGGGACCCACTCCGCATACTATCTATATACTTCCGCACGTACATCTCCGTTTACGGCCGTAAAATAAACATTCACTCACGCGCATGCGCCGATAACACAAAAATTTTGACGGGTGAAACAATGATAGTGCAAAAAACAAGTGGAAAATAAACAATTCATACAGAAAACAATAATGGTAGGAAACGATCAGGCATTATGTCGATCAACAAACACACAAAACTTGCAACAACACGAAAAACGATGAACAAAAACTTAATGGTGGGGGGGATGGGATAACATTGGGTAGAAAACCAACAGTGGAGTTTCAAAAACACCACTGGATGAGGAGGGAAAACAGAGAGAGAGAAAACAGCTGCAAACTGTCAGTCACTTCTTTGGTGGGTGGGTGGGCAATAAATAGAATGGAACAGCAGTGTAAATCTTGTTTTGTGAACGTCGATGTTGTTTTGGTTGCGTCTAAACTTGATCTTCATGTAAATGTAATGGTTGATCCTCCACTGTCACCCACCCCCACCCCCCTCCCTCCCTCTCCCTCCTCCTCCTCTTCTTCATCGTACTCTGAAGCGGGCGACAGAGGAACACGCTGCAAGTCTCTCTCCCACAACTTGTGGGCATATTCCACACTGCCCAAGTTACTGTGCTGCATCTTCTTGTGATAATGAAGGCTTTCCCAGATTTAAAATCAGGAGATTTCATAAAAATTTTCTGTGCCTATGCTGTTTCATGGTGAATGGAAGAGTTACTCTGTGAGATGTGGTCAGACAATGGAAAAAGAAATTGACAGCATTGTAAAAACTGTGCACATCAGTCATCACAGAATGGTAAAGATAGAATAGAACTTATGGCACAAAACCCACCCTGTTTATACTATAGCTTCTGCAATATTATATCTGCAGACCACCTAGGCCTCTAAGAGCCCCGCCCATCAAATTTGCTAGCAAGCTATGCGCGCGCCTACACATCCTCACCGCTGTTGCTCATGACGACGTTGTAGAAGTTGGCCGGGTCCTCCAGTATCACCTGCAGCTCTGCCCGCAGAGACGTACTCCCTGCCTCCTCCATCTTCTTCTCCCTCCCTCTTCTCACTCTATGACAATCCCGCCTTGGGAAAAGTGGGCGAGTTTACGCACGCGCACGCTCAACATTCTGCGCATGCGCATTTCGTGTCAACACAAATGAGTGTCAATGTCTAAAAATTTGTCTAGTAAAATCAAGTATACATAATATTATGTCAAAGATCTCTAAATCTTAGCTATCCACATTCTCTTGGAGGTTGCCTCAGTATCTCCAGTCCCTCCTCCAGCCACCATCAGGTCACCAGATGGTAGTTCAGTACAGCATGGATACAGCATTCCAACTGGCAATTGTCCACACACCCTCCATTGTCTAATCTCTTGGTCATAACGATGGATCTCCTGTACACGCCCCCTTCCTCCTACCAATAGCAAGTGTCCCTGGAGGGCTAATAGGGTGGGCCGCTCTACCGGAGGTGTGGGCAGCTCATGCCAAATGCGTTCAGTGGTAGTGTGAGCTGATGTAGCACTGGATGTCAGAGTGGGGAGATGGGCCCAGAATATGTGTTCCTTCTCATCTGCCCACTCCCGAAATGAGGACAAGTACCAGCGATCACCTACCACTACTGAAGACATCAAGTAACCCCCCACAGGTACTGGCTGTGCACTGTACCATCTACCACTGGAGCTGTCCAACACCTCTACTTCACTCCTACTTCGGAACCAATGCTCCAACCCACATGCAACTATGAGATAGTTCTGGTAGCCTACAGCAGTTGAATATGCTCGTCCAGTAGGCATGGGAGGGTAAGGATGGACCCACTCACTACGACCACTGTCCCACACTGTGATTCTAGCATCATCACCAACACCACCAGCTAGTACCAGCTGACCATTGAGTGAGGTCATAGCAAAGCCCACCACAGGAGATCCTGGCAGCTTACTCCAGTCACCACTCTCTGGATTGTACTGAATGACAACATCAGTCGATGGATCAGTACCTCCACAGTACACCATTCCATTGATGACAACTGCAGAGGCCCACACTAACCTATCAGTGGGTATATCCTTCCCCTTCCTCCAGTTCAGTGAGAGTGGCCATTGTAATGACTGGACCTGTACAGTACATACACAATGTACAGCATAATAACCTTTCATAATATTCTACATGTTCCTTGATTTATACCACACAGCAGGATAGGAATATTTCGTGTAATTAACCCCAGAAAATATTATGTTCGTCACTAATTCACATTGCGCACGTTTGTGTGGTTTTATTATTTTTATACCACGATTTGGCCCAAAACAAGGTTTCTGATTTACCATATACACCTCGAATTTTACAGAAACTACATGAAAACAAGCCAATTTACAAGAAAAACAAGCTAAAATGAAAAGCACTAAAGTGCAAACCCTCGGCTAACTGCGGATGTGCGGTACCGCTAATTGATGGGCTGGGCTTTATCCCTCTAGTAGCTCGCGGAGAGTCTATATTTTCATACATCGAGGTGATATAGGTATGTACCCTATGAATAAATTTCCACTATAGGCAAAAATGAATGAGCGTAGTATTAATGACTTTACCACATACACATAATATGCAATAGCTACCATGTGTTACGGTGAGACTCGTGTTACTGGCTCAGTCGATGATGCACGGCCCAGCATACAGCGATGCTACAACTCGCGCGTTTAGCGCCGAGGGTTTGCACTTTAGTGCTAAATATCCTAGGGGAGGGTAGTGTTAGGGCACTTATGGTATTAAGTAACCCCAAGTAAAGGAATGTCAAAACTTGGTAAGCGTGCAGTGCAAGCCCTAGTCTATGATAAGCTACCCTCAGTGTGCCGACACCCCCAATACACTTACTGTTTCATTTTTAAAATGGTAAGGTGATTTTTAAAATTCTGCCCTAGGCCTTGAACACACACCACCCCAATGAAGGGAGGGGGTTGTGCCCACTGGGTGGTGTTACAGGGCCATCATCAGGCTTAGGCCTCCAAAAAAATGCAGGTCCCCTAAACCTATTAATTTGGCCAGCAAGAGATGCCAGCTTAGCCAGGGATGCTAGTCTTCCCTTATATACCTGAAGTGCTATAAAACGGTTCAGCTATACGCCAGTAAAGAGGCATACATCACGAAATCACCCAACAAATTGAGAGGAAAACACTTTTCTAGGGCAATGCCATTGTTCAATAAGCCCTTGGTTGCTAGGCACCCTGTAAACAAATCACAGGCCACATGATGCTACTGAAATTAGGCTTGGGGAAGTGGTAGACTTTTTTTAAAGAGAGACAGAAATTGGCATAGTATTTTAGCTAAGACAGAGATATGGATTATGTAGAGCACCCACAATACACTAACAAGTAATCAGGATAGATAAGAAGGTGTCTTACGGAAGAGGATGGTCTGGCTCCTGACACGACTGGTTTTGGAGTGGGTGTGGTACAATCCTGCTCATTCAGTTGCTCCCTTAGGCTGCGAATTTCCCCATCTTTTTGGCTGATTTCCTCTCGCTGTTGTTGGAGAATGAGCCTAGATTAATGACTTTACCACATACACATAATATGCCAATAGCTACCCTGTGTTACGGTGAAACTCGTGTTACTGGCTCAGTCAATGATGCACGGCCCAGCATACAGCGATGCTACACTCGCGCGTTTACGCCGAGGGTTTGCACTTTAGTGCAAATATCCTAGGGGAGGGATTGTTAGGGCACTATGTTATTAAGTACCCCAAGTAAGGAATGTCAAACTGGTAGCGTGCAGTGCAAGCCCTAGTCTATATAATGCTACCCTCACGTGTGCCGACACCCTCATACACTTACTGTTTCATTTTTAAAATGTAAGGTGATTTTAAAAAATCAGTCGGCCGCCTACAAAAACTACATGAAAACAAGCCAATTTACAAGAAAAACAAGCTAAAATAGTTGTTTATTCACCTTGTTTTTCTCTTGCTCTAATGTAAAGAGCTAGCTAAGGAAGCCAGCGATAGTGTAACTAGAGCACGGAACGCTCAGGAGCACCGTACATGAACGTGGGTGTGGTCTGGTAGCTACATCCGGCCTCGGGTTTCTGATTTTACGTATTCACCTCGGACCCATCGTCTAACCTATATTTTCATACATCGAGGTGATATAGGTATGTACCCTATGAATAAATTTCCACTATAGGCAAAAATGAATGAGCGTAGTATTAATGACTTTACCACATACACATAATATGCAATTAATTAATGCGTACTGTAAAATGGTTCAGCTATACTCCAGTAAAGAGACATACATCACGAAATCACCCAACAAATTGAGAGGAAAACACTTTTCTAGGGCAATGCTAGGCTAATGCAATTGTTAATGTGATAAGCCCTTGGTTGCTAGGCACCCTGTAAACAAATCGCAGCCACATGATACTATTCATGGACTATAGGGAATTAAGGATATGGAATAGAGTTGATTCATCTTAAACCCTTTGGACGCCATGGGTATCTCCTTAAATAAGCAGAAATTGATGTATAACATATTGACGCCTAGTATTATAGCCATATATAAATTCTTAAGGACTTATGGAGGCTCTGGGCATATATATATGCCCGTGGCTTGCTAAGGGTTCAGTAATTACTGAAATGGAAGGATTTGCTCCAGAAAGGTTTGGGGAAGTGGCAGACGTCTAAAGAGAGACAGAAATTGGCATAATATTTTAGCTAAGACAGGGATATGGATTATGTAGAGCACCCACAATACACTAACAAGTAATCAGGACGGATAAGAAGGTGTCTTACAGAAGAGAATGGACTGGCTCCTGACACGACTTGTTTTGGAGTGGGTGTGGTCTGGAGAAGAGAGAAATGGGGGTAAAGATTGGCGAAAGAAAAACAATATACAAACCTTGTGCGAATTTTTCATAAGTGTGTTTTCAGCTCGGAGATCCTGAACTTGCTCCTCCAGGGATGTAATCTGGGCCTTTTGAACATCATTTTGCTCCTGTAGCCTGGGACTTTCCCCATCTTTTTGCTCTTTCAGTGCTTCATTCTGTTCTTCCAGTGCTTCATTCTGCTCTTGTAGCCTGCGAGTTTCCTGATCCTTTTGGCTGATTTCCTCTCGCTGTTGTTGTATGCTGAGGTTTCTGGACTGCAGGAGTTGAGCCAGTGACAGTTTGTTCACGTCATATTCACCATCTTCAACCTCGGCTCTGGCCTCCTCCAGCCACCCCATCACTTGCTGGATGGTCGGTCTCTCTTCGATGATGTTGTTTAGGCAACGCTGGATCATCTGGACCAGGGGATGCCCCTCCCGGAATTGCCTCGTCACCTCCTGCATGTAGTTGCCACGACGCTCCAACTCTGTTCGACCCACAATCTTTCTGCTCCTGTCCATGTACGCTGCTGCCAGAGGTTTTGGAAACATTTGGGAAAGAGTGAAAATTGCGAGAACTCCGAGAGAAAAGATATCGATCGTGATGTCGTATCTCGATTCGTCTTCCAGAGCCTCTGGAGGCATGTAGATGGAGGCTCCTGGTGCCTTGGTCATGGTGGAAGCTCGCAGACTCGGCACGATGCGAGCCATGCCCAGGTCCGCTATCTTGGCCACCATCCCCTCGTTCAGGAGAACGTTTCTGGCCGACAAGTCGCGGTGGATGATGGGCGGCGAGTGGCTGTGCAGGAACGAGAGCCCGCGGGCCACGTCGTGAAGGACGGAGCGTTTCAGAGAGACGGGGACGAAGGGTTTGTTCCGCGGCGGAGGCTCGGGATCCAGAATGTCGTGGAGACTGGTCGCCAGCTTCTCCATGACAAGCGCCGGCATCCGCGAGCCGGGCAGGAAACACACGCCAAGGAACTGGACGATGTGCGGGTGGCGGAGGGTGCTCATCAGCTGACACTCACGCGCGAACTCGTCCGCTGCTTTCTCGATGCCTTCGCGCGGCATCTGCCTCGGGTCTTGGAAAAAGTCGTGGATCTTCTTGGCGGCGCACACGGCTCCTGGAATTGCCACCTCCTCCACGCTGCCGTACGAGCCAGACCCGATGGTCCTGCCCGTGGCTCGAGCGGAGGAGAGGAAGAACGGACGGAGGTTGGGATGGTCGCGGAGGAAAGACGCGGCCAAGGACTGGGCAGCCATTGTTGTGCGAGGGAGGGGCTCGTAAACCAGTAAACTTCCGGATATCTATGCCAGTATTCCGCTTTTAGGCGTATATATAACATAGTAATGGCTGGCACTCCGCATACTAAATATAAGTTAGATGCCGAGTCCAGGAAACTACGCCGACAGTCCGGGGCCCCCGCGGCTCTCTAATGCGCGTAGTTTGCTGGACTCGGCATCTAACTTATATTTAGAGTCCGCGCATGGACCAATCAGATTGCGCGATTTAAATTACCCAGCTGTCTTAACGTGCAGCTCCGTTTACGGCCGTAAAATAAACATTCACTCACGCGCATGCGCCGCTAACACAAAATTTGACGGGTGAAACAATGATAGTGCAAAACACAAGTGGAAAATAAACAATTCACACAGAAAACAATAATGGTAGGAAATGATCAGGCATTATGTCGATCAACACACACACAGAAACCTTGCAACAACACGAAAAACGCTGAGAAAAACTTAATGGTGGGGGGATGGGAAAACATTGGGTAGAAAACCAACAGTGGAGTTTCAAAAACACCACTGGATGAGGAGGGAAAACAGAGAGAGAGAGAAAACACTGCAAACTGTCAGTCACTTCTTTGGTGGGTGGGTGGGCAATAAATAGAATGGAACAGCAGTGTAAATCTTGTTTTGTGAACGTCGATGTTGTTTTGGTTGCGTCTAAACTTGATCTTCATGTAAATGTAATGGTTGATCCTCCACTGTCACCCCACCCCCTCCCTCTCCCTCTCCTCTCTTCATCGTACTCTGAAGCAGGCGACAGAGGAACACGCTGCAAGTCTCTCTCCCACAACTTGTGGGCATATCAGAGGTGCTACTGATATTCCACACTGCCCAAGTGACTGTGCTGCATCTTCTTGTGATATTGAAGGCTTTCCCAGATACAGACAACTCTACAATCAGGAGATTTCATTAAAATTTCTGTGCCTATGCTGTTTTATGACAGAAAGAACGAGATGCGTGCAGGAAATACGAGCCCCGCCCATCAAATTTGCTATGCGCGCGCGCCTACACATCCTCACCGCTGTTGCTCATGACGACATTGTAGAAGTTGGCCGGGTCCTCCAGTATCACCTGCAGCTCTGCCCGCAGAGACGTACTCCCTGCCTCCTCCATCTTCTTCTCCCTCCCTCTTCTCACTCTATGAGACAATCCCGCCTAGCTAGCTAGGAGCGCCTCCTTGGAAAAAGTGGGCGAGTTTACGCGCACGCGCAAGCTCAACATTCTGCGCATGCGCATTTCGTGTCAAACTCAAATGAGTGTCAATGTCTAACAAATGAAATTTCTCTAGTAAAAAATCGAGTATATATATATATACATAATATTATGTGAAAGATCTCTAAATCTTAGCTATCCACATTCTCTGGGAAAAGCGGATCAATTGGGGTTTTAAAAAATGGCTCTTGATGGGTTAATTTATGTAGGCTAAGCAAAGTTGGCCGATATGCTGGGCTTCACAAACCAGATTTACACAGCAAGTTGCACTTCATACTGCAAACTTTGCTTGAAATTTTCATTAAACGTGCAACTTACAGGTTTGGAGGGAGGGAGGGAGAGAGAGGGAGAGAGAGAGAGAGAGAGAGAGAGAGAGAGGAGGCAGGCTACCAATCCCTGACTATTCCAGTTCAGGTAGGGAGTAGAGGAGTCCTGGAAGAAGATGGACTAGGGCAGCTGAGAAAGATCCTCAAACCAGTCTCAGACAAGGCATGGAAAACATTCCTAATGTCGCTGACAAGATGCGTGATTGAGGAGTCCCATAAGATCTGGATCCTCAGGAATATAGAGAATATATACTCGGCATCTCGGATGGGTCTTTGAACTGTGCGGTGTTTTCGTGGAACACTAGTAAAACAGTAGTCTTATCCATAACCCCTCCTTTGTACACTTGTATTGCAAGGTCAAGAAGGTTTTCTTACGAGAGAGAGAGAGAGAGAGAGAGAGAGAGAGAGAGAGAGAGAGAGAGAGAGAGAGACGGGTAACAAGAGCAGCCCTCATCAACTCCTTCAACATTTGGTGTTCCAGAAACAGGAAACTATAGACCAACCCCCTCCCCCCTTTCCCCCCTATTACGTGTATGCTAATCTATACTTGTGGGTCCAAGGTATTGTGCAGTGATTTTGTACGTCACTTAGGCAAGTCATTCACCTTGGTGTATCACCCACGCCTCATTGTATGATGTTGTACATGCATTGCAATGAAGACGTTTCACACCCCCGAGAGAGAGAGAGAGAGAGAGAGAGAGGGAGAGAGGGAGAGAGAGAGAGGGAGAGAGAGAGAGAGACCCCCCCCCCCGACATGAATAGCATGCAAGAGAAAGAGAGTGGGGTGGAGTACGTGATAAAGAAGGCAGAGAGAAAGGAAGATGAGAGAGGGAGGGAAGATTAAAAGGGTTAGAGATGTCAGACAAAATGTTGAAAGGTGAAGGATTAAACCAACCTTCATCTGAGAAGGGTGATAGGAGTACGCCATGGGTGTGCAGATCCAGTTGTACCCAGCACCAAACATACCCTCTATCATCTGTGAAGAGGGAGAAGAAGGAGGGAGAGGAGATAGAACACTAGTTAGACAGCTAGTCCGTGATATTTAAAAGCCTTAGAGCCTTTCTTCGAACCATAATAGCAACACTATACATAAAGCACATGAGTGCTTATAACAGACACATACTTTATTATCTCTTTCATATTCCTAACTGCGTAACTTAGCAAACGATATTTTAAAAAGAGTACCGTTCGGTTTTTAGGATGAAGGGGAGAGAAAGGAGAAGGAGGTATAGAGGTTGACAATAAAGGAGTGCGAGGAGAAAAAGAAAAAAGATTTTGAAGAAGGGAAGGTATACCTCCTTGGTTAGGTAAGCGTTGAGAAGGACAATAGCTGTGTTGAAGATAAAGAGAAAGGCCTTCATTTGGTACGGCTCCCTGTCCTTCATGTAACCGGGGGCAACCCGCACAAACAACAGGTAGAGCGTTGCCATGACGATGGTGGGGAACGGGGACTGCATCCACATCCAGTCTTTGACACGAGGATCTGAAAATAGATAGAGAGAGAGAGAGTGCTACATCTTCTTGTGATATTGAAGGTTCTTTCGACAACCCTAAAACCATTAAAATTGCTGTGCCTATGTTGGTTTTATGGTGAATGGAAGAGTTACTCTGTGAGATGTGGTCAGACAATGAAAAAAGAGGCCACAAACCTGCTCTGTTTATACTAGAGTATATATAGCTTCTGCAATATTATATCTGCAGACCACGTGGCTATGATACGCCTCTAAGCTACACTGTATAATATTATGCGGTATAATTATACTACAAGTCTATAATTGCATAGTTGGCTCTGAGTTGTCGCATGATCTCCGTAAAGTCGTCACGTGTGGAAGAGTCCGCTCGGGCGATCGCTTAGCTACAATGCTAACGTACTACAACCACTAGGGCGCATCTGCGATAAGTGTGCGTTTGTCGGTAGAGTAACAAGAAGAAGAGTATCTTTGCAAGCAAAGTGTGGTGACGAGACGGAGATGCGTGCAGGAAATACGAGCCCCGCCCATCAAATTTGCTAGCAAGCTATGCGCGCGCCTACACATCCTCACCGCTGTTGCTCATGACGACGTTGTAGAAGTTGGCCGGGTCCTCCAGTATCACCTGCAGCTCTGCCCGCAGAGACGTACTCCCTGCCTCCTCCATCTTCTTCTCCCTCCCTCTTCTCACTCTATGACAATCCCGCCTTGGGAAAAGTGGGCGAGTTTACGCACGCGCGCGCACGCTCAACATTCTGCGCATGCGCATTTCGTGTCAACACTAATGATTTTGTCTAGTAAAATCAGTATACATAATAGTCAAAGATCTCTAAATCTTAGCTATCCACATTCTCTTGGAGGTTGCCTCAGTATCTCCAGTCCATCCTCCAGCCACCATCAGGTCACCAGATGGTAGTTCAGTACAGCATGGAGCATCCATTCCAACTGGCAATTGTCCACACACCCTCCATTGTCTAGTCTCTTGGTCATAGCGATGGATCTCCTGTACACACCCCCTTCCTCCTACCAATAGCAAGTGTCCCTGGAGGGCTAATAGGGTGGGCCCTTCTACCGGAGGTGTGGGCAGCTCATGCCAAATGCGTTCAGTGGTAGTGTGAGCTGATGTAGCACTGGATGTCAGAGTGGGGAGATGGGCCCAGAATATGTGTTTCCTTCCCATCCTCCCAGCCCCCAAATGAGGACAAGTACCAGCGATCACCTACCACTACTGAAGACATCCATGACCCCCCACAGGTACTGGCTGTGCACTGTACCATCTACCACTGGAGCTGTCCAACACCTCTACTTCACTCCTATGCTCAAACCCACATGCTACTATGAGATAGTTCTGGTAGCCCACAGCAGCTGAAATGCTCGTCCAGTAGGCATGGGAGGGTAAGGATGGACCCACTCACTACGACCACTGTCCCACACTGTGATTCTAGTATCATTAGCAAACACCACCAGCTAGTACCAGCTGACCATTGAGTGAGGTCATAGCAAAGCCCTTTCACTGGAGATCTGGGGAGCTCACTCCAGTCACCACTCTCTGGATTGTACTGAATGACAACATCAGTCAATGGATCAGTACCTCCACAGTACACCATTCCATTGATGACAACTGCAGAGGCCCACATAACCTATCAGTGGGTATATCCTTCCCCTTCCTCCAGTTCAGTGAGAGTGGCCATTGTAATGACTGGACCTGTACAGTACATACACAATGTACAGCATAATAACCTTTCATAATATTCTACATGTTCCTTGATTTATACCACACAGCAGGATAGGAATATTTCGTGTAATTAACCCCAGAAAATTTGATGTTCGTCACTAATCCACATTGTGCATGTTTGTGTGGCTTTATTATTTTTATACCACAATTTGGCCCAAAACAAGGTTTCTGATTTACCATATACACCTCGAATTTTACAGAAACTACATGAAAACAAGCCAATTTACAAGAAAAACAAGCTAAAATGAAAAGCACTAAAGTGCAAACCCTCGGCTAACTGTGGATGCGCGGTACCGCTAATTGATGGGCTGGGCTTTATCCCTCTAGTAGCTCACGGAGAGTCTATATTGTCATACATCGAGGTGATATAGGTATGTACCCTATGAATAAATTTCCACTATAGGCAAAAATGATTGAGCGTAGTATTAATGACATTACCTCATACACATAATATGCAATTAATTACCGCATACTGTAAAATAGTTCAGCTATACGCATAAGCTAGAGGCATACATCACGAAATCACCCAACAAATTGAGAGGAAAACACTTTTCTAGGGCAATGCTAATGCCATTGTTCACGTGATAATCCAAGAATGGCTAAGGCCTCTTGGACCATGAATGCTATTCATGGTTGTATGTAGGCGACTGAAGAATGTCCTTATATGGCTGGTTTCTTTGGTTGCTATATAGGCACCCTGTAAAATCGCAGGCCACATGACCGTAATACCGAGCTTCACATCTCGATTGGGGAACTTCTTACACAGCTGGCCATAATAATAATAATAATACGTAAAACACTTTACAGTGCATAACCCTCACAACTTTATTTTTCGATGTCTACGGCAGGCATTCGTCGGATTAACAAGTAAATAGAACACAGCTAGTTTATTCAATAGCCTGCTATACATTAGGCAGAAAACAATGGTCTTATGCTATATACAACTTTGTAGCTACTAATGTGTGGAGGGAGATTATGTTCACTGGTTTATAAAAGACAGCTGTGATCTAACCATATTATATCTCCCCACACTAGTTAGTAATGGCTGATGGTTACTTTAGCTGAGCAGTACTATAATATACAACTCACCATTTGAGCACGCAGCACGTTACACCAAAACAAGGAGATACTCTAACCATCCAGGCACTATTCATAGACTATACAGGGACTCGAAAATGGAAATGGAGTAGTCATCCTGAAGGAACAATACTTACTGAAATGGAAGGATTTGCTCCAGAAAGGTTTGGGGAAGTGGCAGACTTTTTAAAGAGAGACAGAAATTGGCATAATATTTTAGCTAAGACAGGGATATGGATTATGTAGAGCACCCACAATACACTAACAAGGAATCAGGACAGAATAAGAAGGTGTCTTACAGAAGAGGATGGTCTGGCTCCTGACATGACTTGTTTTGGAGTGGGTGTGGTCTGGAGAAGAGGGAGGGAAATGGTAGATTGGCGAAAGACAAATAATAATATACAAACCTTTTGCGACTTTTTCATAAGTGTCTTTTCAGCTCGGAGAGTCTGAACTTGCTCCTCCAGGGATGTGGACTGCAGCAGTTGAGCCAGCGACAGTTTGTTCACGTCATATTCACCATCTTCAATCTCGGCTCTGGCTTCCTCCAGCAACCCCATCACTCGCTGGATGGTTGGTCTCTCTCTCATCCGGTTCTTCAGGCACCGCTGGATCATTTGGATCAGGGGATGCCCCTCCCGGAATTGCCTCGTTACCTCCCGCATGTAGTTGCCACGACGCTCCAACTCTGTTCGACCCACCATCCTCCCACTGTCGTCGATATATGCTGCCGCCAGAGGATCTGGAAACATTTGGGAAAGAGTGAAAATTGCGAGAACTCCGAGAGAAAAGATATCGATTGTTACGTCGTATCTTGACTTGTCTTCCAGAGCCTCTGGAGGCATGTAGATGGAGGCTCCTGGTGCCTTGGTCATGGTGGAAGCTCGCAGACTCGGCACGATGCGAGCCATGCCCAGGTCCGCTATCTTGGCCACCATCCCCTCGTTCAGGAGAACGTTTCTGGCCGACAAGTCGCGGTGGATGATGGGCGGAGAGTGGCTGTGCAGGAACGAGAGCCCGCGGGCCACGTCGTGAAGGACGGAGCGTTTCAGAGAGACGGGGACGAAGGGCTTGGTCGGCGGCGGAGGCTCTGGATCCAGAATGTCGTGGAGACTGGTCGCCAGCTTCTCCATGACAAGCGCCGGCATCCGCGAGCCGGGCAGGAAACACACGCCAAGGAACTGGACGATGTGCGGGTGGCGGAGGGTGCTCATCAACTGACACTCACGCACGAACTCCTTCCTCGCTTTCTCGATGCCTTCGCGCGGCATCTGCCTCGGGTCTTGGAAAAAGTCGTGGATCTTCTTGGCGGCGCACACGGCTCCTGGAATTGCCACCTCCTCCACGCTGCCGTACGAGCCAGTCCCGATGGTCCTGCCCGTGGCTCGAGCGGAGGAGAGGAGGAACGGATGAAGGTTGGGATGGTCGCGGAGGAAAGACGCGGCCAAGGACTGGGCGGCCATTGTGTGCGGAGGAGGGGCTCGTAAACCAGTAAACTTCCGGATATATGTGCTAGTAGTCGCTTTTAGGCGTGGTACTCCGTGTATCAGAGTATTTTTGTATATTGGGACCCACTCCGCATACTATCTATATACTTCCGCACGTACATCTCCGTTTACGGCCGTAAAATAAACATTCACTCACGCGCATGCGCCGATAACACAAAAATTGACGGGTGAAACAATGATAGTGCAAAAAACAAGTGGAAAATAAACAATTCATACAGAAAACAATAATGGTAGGAAACGATCAGGCATTATGTCGATCAACAAACACACAAAACTTGCAACAACACGAAAAACGATGAACAAAAACTTAATGGTGGGGGGATGGGATAACATTGGGTAGAAAACCAACAGTGGAGTTTCAAAAACACCACTGGATGAGGAGGGAAAACAGAGAGAGAGAAAACAGCTGCAAACTGTCAGTCACTTCTTTGGTGGGTGGGTGGGTGGGCAATAAATAGAATGGAACAGCAGTGTAAATCTTGTTTTGTGAACGTCGATGTTGTTTTGGTTGCGTCTAAACTTGATCTTCATGTAAATGTAATGGTTGATCCTCCACTGTCACCCCACCCCCACCCCCTCCCTCTCCCTCTCCCTCCTCCTCCTCTTCTTCATCGTACTCTGAAGCGGGCGACAGAGGAACACGCTGCTGCAAGTCTCTCTCAGAGTACTCCGTGATGGTTGCCGGGGACGGCGGACGGCCGGGGGGAGTCCTGTCGTCGAACGGGAAATTACTTCCGTTTTCAGTTTGTATCGTCGACTGCGAGAACACGGTCTCCGTCTCTGCCTCTTCGTAGTTGGGGAGGTCTGACGGATAGACGCCCCTGGCGTTACCACGTAAACGAGACATGGAGATTGGCGGGTAATGATGGGAGTCCCCCACGGAGCGACGGGGGTGAGGGACACTGTGACTAACGTAGCTCGTTCCCGCGGAGCTTCCCCCTGGTACTCCGTACGGACGCCCGTTTCCATGGTGATGGTGATACACGTGGGTGTTACCACGGAAACCACCGTGATAATGAAGGGGGTTCTCCGCCTGCGGGTGATGAGGATGATGATGACCCCTGAACCCAGGGGGTCTGTTGTAGTAATTTTCGGCCCCCTGCCCCCCACCGTTCATGGTGGTGAGCCTCATTCCCCCTTGGGAGGCGGAGTACGAGAGGGCACTCATGTTCTCCCAGTCGACGGATGGACAGGGTGGGGGGCAAGGGTCGGCTTGTGATTCTTCCTCTCCCTCTAGCAGCTGTTAAATTGAGAAGAAGACAATTTGCTATAATTATACAACAGACTATACCAATTCAAGGGGCAGACACAGACACGGTGTGGAAAGGGTTAAACAAATCTCCATGCACAGACACACACACACGGTGTGGAAAGGGTTAAACAAATCTCCATGCACAGACACACACACGGTGTGGAAAGGGTTAAACAAATCTCCATGCACAGACACACACACGGTGTGGAAAGGGTTAAACAAATCTCCATGCACAGACACACACAGCGGTGTGGAAAGGGTTAAACAAATCTCCATGCACAGACACACACACGGTGTGGAAAGGGTTAAACAAATCTCCATGCACAGACACACACACGGTGTGGAAAGGGTTAAACAAATCTCCATGCACAGACACACACACGGGGGAAAGGGTCTCCACAGACCCACCGTTGGAAAGGTAAAATCTCCATGCACACACACACACGGTGTGGAAAGGGTTAAAAATCTCCACACGCGCACACCAACCTGAGACTGTCGCCTGGCAGCAGTGATCAGCGACGGAGGAGGATTACTGATGTGGGTGCTCCTCTCCGGATGAAACACGGCTCTCTTCTCGAAGGGGTCCGGGTGAGGTGAACCGCAGTTGAAATTTGTGGATTCGGTCCCCAGACTAGACATTCCGGAGTAGATGGACGAGCTGTCGCTTCTTGGGGGAGGGGAGCTGCCGGCCTTTGAGGTGGGGGGGAAATGGAACCGTTGTCGGCGGCGTTTCTGACGAGCGATGCAGCGGACGGACACGCAGAAAATGACAAAGACGAAGAACGCGAGCATCACAAAGATGGTCGTCACGGTGATGATGGTGACGTAATTGGCGGAGCCCGAAGTCGAGGGGTCCTTGGTAGTGGAGGTAGGGGGTGTGGTCGTGACACCTGTTTGGGAGAGGGGAGAGAGGGGGAAAGGTTAAAAAGTACCTTAGTCCGAGACAATATATTTAGCAAATTTTACGTGCCTATTGCAAAAGTATTTTTTGCGCATAATTACAGTTTGCCAGACACGCACGCGCACGCCAACTGTGAGGGCGAAAAATGGACCCGTGAAAGTCGCTATTAAACAAACAGAGAAGAGATGGAGAAGAAAAGTTGGCAAAGAGATTATTTTTATTCTTATTACAATCTTCTGGGGTGGTGTAGTCTTGGCAGAAATCGCTGGCATCGCATTTCACGTTGTCTTGGAAACAGCGGTAGTGTCCCCTCGTCGAGAGTGTAGCAGCCAAACTCAAAGTCCTCGTTGCAACAGATGAGCTCGTCGGCATGCGACGCTGGACAGTTGAACGACGTCGTCACAGCGACTGGTGTTGAGGTAGCAGAGTCCCTCGTTTCCAGGGCCACACGGGATGTAGCCCTCGCCTTCGGTGCATTCCGGGCCTGGTGGGAGAGGAGTTAAGTAGTGAAATTACTAAACTAAAATCTTATGCAAACATTAATACTAAAAAGTTAATCCAGACACCAATGGGACAGAAGAAAGTGTCCTTATTAGTGAGGTGTCTTTATTTCAGGGGTTAAAAATTGCATGCCAAGAACTGTTCTTTGGGAAAGAAAAGGTGTCCTTATTAGACGTACGTATCTCTAGCTGTAAGTGTTGAATCAATGTCCCGGCTTCCCAATTTAACGTTAACCAATCAATCTTGATTTAACCCTCTGTGTACGCCAATAAATATTGATTTAACCCTCTGCTCACAGTTAGTTTCGTCGAATCCGTTGGTACAGTGCTGAACTCCGTCGCAGGCGTACGTGTTTGGGAAACATTCCAGACTGCCGCCACACGAGGTATGGAACTGGGCACAGGACACTGCTGAGGTGGAACGGAACGGAAACCAGTAAAGGGAGAAATATGGAGCGAGACAGGGGGAAAGACGACAGTTTGGAGCGAGATAGGGGGAAAGACGACAGTTTGGAGCGAAATAGGGGGAAAGACAACAGTTTGGAGCGACGCGAGTAAAGGTAGAAATATGGAGACCAGCCCAAACCTTCACTGCATCTGCTCTTTTCTCTGTCGACAGCTGTTCTAAAGAGAGGACATTGGCAGATGGCCAAGCCCTGCGCCTCCAGACACAGATAGTCGCATTCCTTGTTGCCGGAGCGACAGCTGTACGGAGCTGGGAGGAGAGGAGGGGGATAAAGAGGATTAATCTCTTGCTCACTATAGCTAACACTATCTCGTTGACCTGACCCTTTTTCGCCAATCTAAGGGTTTGAACGGTTTTGCATTTTTTGTAGGCACGCGAGAAAACGAAATGACAAACCAACCATCCATGGTAGATAGACTATAGTTGGAGGTTGGAATAGCAGTGCTATCTCTCACTATCTCACCTCTTCTTTACTTAACTGTCTCCCTTCCAAGTAAGGGTTTGAACGGTTTTGCATTTTTTGTAGGCACGCGAGAAAACGAAATGACAAACCAACCATCCATGGTAGATAGACTATAGTTGGAGGTTGGAATAGCAGTGCTATCTCTCACTATCTCACCTCTTCTTTACTTAACTGTCTCCCTTCCAAGTAAGGGTTTGAACGGTTTTGCATTTTTTGTAGGCACGCGAGAAAACGAAATGACAAACCAACCATCCATGGTAGATAGACTATAGTTGGAGGTTGGAATAGCAGTGCTATCTCTCACTATCTCACCTCTTCTTTACTTAACTGTCTCCCTTCCAAGTAAGGGTTTGAACGGTTTTGCATTTTTTGTAGGCACGCGAGAAAACGAAATGACAAACCAACCATCCATGGTAGATAGACTATAGTTGGAGGTTGGAATAGCAGTGCTATCTCTCACTATCTCACCTCTTCTTTACTTAACTGTCTCCCTTCCAAGTAAGGGTTTGAACGGTTTTGCATTTTTTGTAGGCACGCGAGAAAACGAAATGACAAACCAACCATCCATGGTAGATAGACTATAGTTGGAGGTTGGAATAGCAATGCTATCTCTCCCTCTGAAAATTTTTATGGAGATGAAAATTTTAAACTTCTGGAGGCATTGTGTTTGATACATTTTGGAATTTCAATTTCAACAATTATTCCAAATCGACCCCTTACTATCGATAGCGTTGTATCGTGACACGTCAAATGACATCATCGCCAGTAGTGCATTCTTCAGGTTGCCAGGCGACCACGACAGGTACTTTTGGCGACACTCGAAATCTCCGTCGTCGAGTTTACGAGTGACGTTGCAGTAGAGTATGGCGGCTTCCTTCACGTCATACCAGAAAAACAGGTTTGTCTTGTTGGACACGTTGTTAGCCGACAATCCTGTGCAGGAAAAAGCAAGCTCAATTATACAGTGGAACCTCTCTCTAAGGACACCCCTGAAATGAGGACACCTCTCTAATAAGGACACCTTTTCTTTTCCCCAAGAACAGTTCTTGCATGCAATTCAACCCCTGAAATAAGGACACCTCACTAATATGGACACTTTCTTCTGTCCCATTGGTGTCTGGATTAAAGGAGTTCCACTGTACTGACTATACAATACCTGTAACGTTGCTAACGGCACTGACAAACGTAACGACGTCCTCGTTTGTCCTGGTTCCCGCGGCAACCACACTGACACCCTCGATTTTCTTTGCGTCTCTATTCCACCAGTACACGTAGCCAATACTGGGGTCAAAGGTGAGATATTCAATGGTTCGATCGCTTGATTCGGCGAGAAGAGGAGAGAGACTGTCTCGAGGTGTTCCGAGAGCCGATTTGAAGATTTGCCTCCCTTCTTCGTGCCAGATGATGGATCTGCGGAGTGAGGAGGATGAGGGAGGGAGGGAGGAATGGGAGAGAGGGAGGGGAGAGGGAGGAATGGGAGAAAAGAGAAAGTTGGTGAGAAAATAAAACTGAGGAAAAGATGAGTATCGTATTTAAATATTCGTTTTGCAGTTTGGAAAAACAGGAGCCCAAAAAGAGAAGAAGGAGAAGGAGAAGGAGAAGAGTGAAAAGGGTTTCAAACCTGCTAGTCTCGTCAAACAGGACACCCCGGGGCTGACTAGGAAACACGACGTCTCCATCCACCAGGTACGCCGAGACCACCGAGCCCACGGTCAAGTTCTCCCCCTCTCCTCGCACGCTGGCCGACGAGACCTGGTACCCCGTGGTCTCCGTGAAGATAACCTGGCCCCCGATCCAGTCCAGTGACATGGAACGGAGACTGACGCGGTCTGGGAACCGGCCCAGGACACGAGACTCGAGGCCTTCCACTGTGACACTGTGGTAAAATGAATTGTTGATGCATACAGTGGAACCCCTCTCTAAAGATACCCCGAAATGGGGACACCTCTCTAATAAGGACACCTTTTCTATCATTGTGTGTCACATGATAGATCACATGATGACCACATTACATAATCACATTATTAGAGAGGTCCTCATTTCAGGGGTGTCCTTAGAGAGGGGTTCTACTGAACATGTGTACTATCATGAAAAAAATTCTTACATTTTTCACAAATAAATATTTACCTGTAAAGTAGGTTTGTTCCCTTTTCCAACCAAATGATGCTTTGACTGTAAGGGTCGTACGTCACGGCAACAACATCGCTATGGTTACCCCTCGGTACAATGCGGGGTTCAGAGGTCACCTCCGCATCTGTTAGGTCGCTAGGCAACGGGTAGTAGTATATGTCGGTTTTAGTGGCGAGTATCACGAAACTGTTTGCCTCTGAAACAAGAAAAGACGAAGTCACTACAGGGTTAAATTTTTAACCCCTAAGGAACTCACGTGTGCAGACTTCCGTGCGTTGACCAAGCAGCGTGTCGACGTGAACAGTCTTGAATGAATCGAGTGGACAGATGCAGCTGCCGTATATGTGGTCTTGTACGAGGCATAGCGGATGATGTCCGGTGCAGAATTCTCCTGCCGTGCATTCGTGATAGCCTTTGGGGAGGAAGGAGGGATGGAGGGAAGGAGGGAGAGAGAAGAGGCAAAAGAAGAAGGGAGAGAGAGAGAAGAGGCAACAGAAGAAGGGAGGGAGAGAGAGAGAGGGAAAGAGAAAGAGAGGGAAAAGGATAAGTGGAAAAAAGTAGAGAGTGAAAGAGAGAGTGAGCATGCATTTAAAAAACACTGCCGATCATGTTTCCATGGCGACACTCACCAGGTTGCGTCCGCGGATGAACGATGGAGAAATCGAGGAAAGTGAACTCTGACCCTTCGATACCCGTGAGAGAGAAAACGTCGTGCGTTCCACCATTATCGAACCACTTGTCGATTTTCTCCGAATTTTCTTTCGAATAATACAGTGACTGGTTGAAGTAGAGAGATGAGGAAATGGCTGGCGGCGAGATGAGTCTGATGAGGTGGGGGTCGCTGTCGGCTCCGCCCAGGTCGTAACCGACGGTAACGGTCTCGGTACCGGACCAGTACGACCAGACGAGTTTGTCGCGGAACATGGGGGAGGGATCGAAATCAATGGACAGGGAGACGATTCTGACGATGGTTGGGTAGCCATGGAGAGTGCAGTTTCTGACGCTGTTGCAGATGCTGACTGACGTCTCACTAGTTCCGTCCATCTTACGACGATATATGATTTTGGTGTCGCCTTGCGTGAAGAAGAGGTCACTAGAGTAAAAGAGAGAGAGGGAGAGAGAGAGAGGAGATAGAAAGAGGAGGGGGAAGATGACAGTTTGGAGTGAGGTAGGGGAAAGTTTGGAGTGAGATAGGGGGGGGAAGACGACAGTTTGAAGCGAGATAGGGGGAAATACGACAGTTTGGGGGAAAGACGACAGTTTGGAGTGAGATAGGGAAAGTAGTAGGAGGCCCGAGGCATAATAAAACGACCATTACATACCCCCTGCGAGGATCGAGCACCAGCAACGAAGGCTGGTCCAGTTCAGAGTACAGCACACGACGAGATCTCCCACTCAGCAGAGATACCTGAAAACACAAACAGCGATTTCTCAACATTTCACCATGACAACGAAAACAAAGTGAAGAGATACGTACCTCGATAACTCCTCGCAATGAATCAGTCCAGTACAGATTGCGACCCAACCAATCAACTGCTAGATCTTTCGGGGTTGCTAGGCAACAGGTGATGATGGGTGTGGCCTCTCCGATGTCAGATTCCGGGTTGCCAATGGTGATGGAGCGACGATAAATAAGCTGAAGTGAAAAGAGAGAAGTTACTTGAAAACTTTGTAAACCATCTTTGAAACAATGGTGGGCTAAAAAAACTTGCAGTTAACAAAAAAATCGTTTTCTTCGAATTTGTGCAGTTTGGCACTATGCAATGTTTTACACAGACCTTGTCGGTCCTTTGAACGTAGTACACATCTATTGCTGCGTCGTCACGGAGATGAATCGCCATGGAAACGATGTCGACCGTCTCTGTGCACATGCCGCCAGGACAAGATGATTCAGGCGCCCACATTTCAGTCAGAATGTTCAGACTTCGGGTGTACAACTCGAGGTAAGTTGTCGTGGTTTCTCCTGTCTTGTCAGCGAGTGCAATTACCGCATATCCATCTGGTTCTGTACATATTTGGTGAGAGTCAGATTGGAACTGGAGCCCGTCAGGACACTGGCAGACAGCTGAGCTGTTGAAGAGACATATGTGACTGCAGCCGTGGCTTAGAGCACACAAGTTGTCGTTGTCTACAGAGAGAGAGAGAGGGAGAGAGAAGCATTAGGCAGACTATTTCGCTAACCGATACAGTGGAACTCCCATAATATAGACAACAAAGTGTCCTTATTAGAGAAAACGAAACGTTGCAAACCTATAAAGTGGTCGGTATCCACGGCAACGATTCCCTTGACTCCGTCGATGTTTTCGAAGAACGTGACACCTCTCCTCACCTCCGGACCCTCCCCCTCCTCCTCCCTAATGGTTGCCACGCCGATTTTACCATCGAATCCATCCGTCCAGTACAACTCATTATCTCTGCAAACAACAACAAACAAATACCCATGGTGTACAAAGGGTTAAGTCTTAAAACAAGGTAACAGTGGTTCTTACACTATGGCAAGTCCGTGGACGGAAATTGCGCCAACAGGAAATCCACGCTCCGTGTTGGAATCGACGGTGTTAATGTCGCCATCTTCATCATCAGACCAGAACACGTCGTCACTGGCCGGGTTGACAACTATGAACGTGGGCTGAAGAGGAGAGAGAGAAATCAGAGAAAAGAGAGTTAAAGTTACTAAAGAGGAGAGAGAGAAATTAGGGATAAAAGAGTTAAATTTTACTAAAGAGGAGAGAGAAATTAGAGATAATAGAGTTAAAGAGGAGAGAAATTAGAGATAATAGAGTTAAATTTGACTAAAGAGGAGAGAAATTAGAGATAAAAAGAGTTAAATTTTACTAAAAGAGGGGAGAGAAATTAGAGATAATAGAGTTAAATTTTACTAAAGAGGAGAGAAATTGGAGATAAAAGAGTTAAATTTTACTAAGAGGAGAGAGAAATTAGAGATAATAGAGTTAAATTGGAGATAAAAGAGTTAAATTTTACTAAGAGGAGAGAGAAATTAGAGATAATAGAGTTAAATTTTACTAAAGAGGAGAGAAATTAGAGATAAAAGAGTTAAATTATACTAAAGAGGAGAGAGAAAAGTATTGTTTCCTTATATCTTTAGTAACATTTCCAAATTTAGCCATTACGTAATGACACGTTCACTATACATAACTCACGGCGTGTGATGTTCCCCTGTGGAACACTTGTCTCTCGGAGCCGTCCAGTCTGGCCCTCTCGATCCTCGGCTCGCCGCTCTCCCTATCTACCCAGTACATGTACCCATTCATGAGGTCCAGCGAGAGTGACTGCGGCGTGTGGATATCTCCACTCACCAGCACTCTTCTAGCCCGCCGTCCTGAAAAATCATCAACAGAAGGTGTGTCATGAACAGTGGAACTCCTCTAATCCAGACACCAATGGGACAGAAGAAAGTGTCCATATTAGTGAGGTGTCCTTATTTCAGGGGTTAAATTGCATGCAAGAACTGTTCTTTGGGAAGAAAGGTGTCCTCATTTCAGGCACTCCGAATGGAGGTATACTGGAATAAGAACAGGAGTATGGGAATGTGGGAATGGAGGTATGGGAATGGGGGAATGAGTTACCGTCACGGTCATTTGAGGAGAGCGAGACGACTTCAATTCTGTCCAACGCACTGTCACTCCAATAGAGGTTCCGGCTGAATGGATCCACAGCCAGACCTGCAGTGGACAAGGGGTTAAATTAAAAAATAGCACTTGTTCAATCATTACTAGACAGAGATATAAATAGTAGGTGCACTGTTCATAACAGTGAAGAGTCAAAAAAGCAGAGATTAAACCCACAGACGTACCCAAAAGTCAGCCACAAAGGGGTTTAAAAAAACTGACCAAAATCAGCCACAAAGGGGTTAAAACTACATACCTGATACACGTCTGATGTCGGTCGAAATGAAAGTGTCGACTTCGCCGGAATCAATCTCCGATCTCTTGATAGCAGGCGGACTCATTTCGTCCCAGTAGACAGAGAGAGTGGTGATGTCATAGGAGATGTAGTTGGCTCCGTATCCCGGTATTTGGAACGGAAGGAGGACAGACACGTCTCTGTCCGTGTCCAGGGAAACCATGGAAATGCGGGAGAGGGTGTCGGTGATGGTACGACCGAAGAGAAGGAAATTGGTTGGAACTGGAGTGTATGGGGCAAGAGTAAGGAGAGAGAAAGAGAGAGAGAATAATGCTTTATAATCAGGACACATGGGACAGAACAAAGCATCCATATTAGTGCTTGCAAAACTGTTTTTTGGGGGAAAGAACTGCAGAGATTATTGCTCCATATTTTAGAACCCCTCTCTAAGGACACCCCTGAAATGAGGACACCTCTCTAATAAGGACACCTTTTCTTTCCCCAAGAACAGTTCTTGCATGCAATCCAACCCCTGAAATAAGGACACCTCTCTAATAAGGACACCTTTTCTTTCCCCAAGAACAGTTCTTGTATGCAATTCAACCCCTGAAATGAGGACACCTCACTAATATGGACACCTTTTCTTTCCCCAAAAACAGTTCTTGCATGCAATTCAACCCCTGAAATGAGGACACCTCACTAATACGGACACTTTCTTCTGTCCCACTGGTGTCTGAAAGAGAGCAGTTCACCCACGGCACACGAAAAAGAACGAGAGAGAGAGAGAGAGAGAGAAGATGCCCAGACCTCTCGGGCACAGGTTTGAGACGGGGTCCTCTTGAATCCCGGTACTACACCCACACTCGGGCATCGTCCCTTGTCCAGTCGAAGACGGGACAGAGAAACAGAGCTGGTCGCAGCCGCCGTTGTCATTCCCGCAACCTTCGTCCAACGAAGCTACGAGAGAGGGAGGAAAAGAACTCGTAACTAAACGAACTACGCACGAATATTTGTAAGACCACGCCTCTTTTAATACATGCGTACAGCAGATATTTCTGAAATAAATACCCCATAATTTTAGCTTAAAATTTGTGAATAGTTTAATAGCATCCTTACTTATTTCAGAAGAAATGCTGACGTCTCGAGGATGAATATCCATGCTCTCGTGAAGAACAGTCGGACTAGTGTCATCATCGCCGTTGACGACCAACATGTAAATAGCCCCAGGGAGTGAAGTCACGTTGTTGCCGAGAACCGTCCAATAAAGTGTGCCGTCCGATGCCGATAACCCATACGGAACGGAACTGGTGCCGATCGTCTGCGGCAAAGGGTCGTCCAGCGAGAGGTCGATAAACCGGATCTCCCCGTTTGAAGTCCAGTATAACCGGTTTAGCGAGGCGTCAACTGCGAGACCGGTGACGTTGCTCGGTGCCTGAATCTTGTCGACCTTGTTTTTCACCGTTTGTGTTAATCCTCTTGATGTAAGGACCGTCGGCATAGTACAAGTATCTGGGAGAGGGAGGAAGGAGGGAGAGAACGGATTCTTGTAACAGAAAATCGAAAAGAATAAAAATGTCAACGAGTGTGTGTAGGTTAACTGTAGCTATACAAGATCTCCACTCTCTATCCCTCCACCCCCTAAAGACAAAAAACTTTTGACAATGCTCTACCCGTGCCTCAGAAAAACACCCTCTATAATTTCAGAAATCGCCACTCACCCATTGGCGATATCCAGTGCAAGTGGACCGCCTTCTACCAGACCAGTCTGAAGCACCTTTCTATGGGCGCCATCACAACTCACAACCTCGATTCTACCTTTACCTGAAAAAAATTTATGGCAGGAGACACAAAATTTTACACGACAGCAGAAATATTTTTCAGGATGTGGTGAAAAAAGAAGAAAAGCTTCAGTGTGAAGAACTGTGTGCTCTAAAAATAGAAACAGGTCATGTGCCCTAAAAATAGTCACAGGCCACACCCACTTCTGATGTTGGTCTGTTGGGAGAAGTAGATGTTGCTCCCCACGTAGTCGACGGCGATGCCCTTTGGCCTCACGACATCATCGCTTATAACCTGGCAACCAAACAGGAAACCAACGGTGAAATAATAATAATTATTATGCTGACAGAAGAATTCAAAGAATTTGTCAATTCAGCAATTTATCGTACACCTGTACAGTAGATACCTTCAACCAGCTAAACATGCTATTGACTCAAATCAGAACATAATTGTACAGGCTTCTGATTCTTTTTGCGCATTTCATGTCTGATGCATTTTTAATCGCAACAAAAGCCAAAAAAAGGAAGCAAAAATTGAACTTACGTATTCAGCCTGGCCTCCTCCGTCAGGGTTGCCACGGTGAATTCTGCCGTCCAGGAGACTGATCCAGTAGATCCCTAGACTCCCTTTGCACGAATTGAAATCTAGAGCCTGGGGGAGAGGGAGGAAGAGGAGGAGGGAGGGAGGGGGGAGAGAGAGAGGGAAGAGAGGAACAAGAAGGAAGAAGAGAGAGGCAAATACAGGGAAAGAGACAAAAATGATTTTTAACACGCGAGACGTGGGTATAAAGATCAAATCTTGAAGAAGATGACGTTCGATTTCTGTAGAGCAAATCTTTGAACGAAGACATTACCTGGGGATGGTCACTGTCTGTGTAGAGAATCTGGACCTGACTCTGATCGTTGCTCAGTTTCCGGATGTCGTTGGTGTTTGTGAAGAAATACTGGTTACCGTGGGCAACTGGGGTGGGGAGTGAGGAAGAGAGAGGACGTAAAACGTTCTCTACAATTTTTTGGGCAAGAAAGTAACAGTAAGGCAAGACAAGGTGTTTTTTACATATTTTATGGCTTACAGCAGCCATCAAACTCGTGGTTTAAAGGCTAAATTTAGAAACGTTACTAAACATGACTCTTTCACTGTGCCCCTATTGTTTTGTTCTATCTTTAGTATGATTTCTAAATTTAGCTCTTGTATACTGCCACATTCCCTTTAAATAGATGCACCATTTCCCCCACTTTTTTTTCAATATGGGAAAACTGCAGTAGCCACTAATTGAATTTCTGCCATACCTGGCCATTGTCCCAATCTAATCAAGTCAATCTAGTACACAGTGTATATACAGGTGGAGTCTGGGGACTAATTGGATTAGTGACCGCTTACAAAGGCCAGGTTGGTGGAGTGCCAGGGGCTACCAGGTGGACAATGGGAGCACTTCTATCCTTTCTTCTCCTCCTCTCTCCCTCTCTCTCTCCTCCATCTCTCTCCCCTCCCTCCCTTCTTCTCCTCTCTCTCTCTCCTTCCCCATTCCATCTCTCTCCTTTCTCCTCTCTCTCTCCTTCCCCATTCCATCTCTCTTCTTTCTCCCCCCTCTCACTTTTCTTTCCTACTAACCTCCACCTCTCCTCCCTCCTCCCCCCAAAATGTCCACCAAGGCCTACTATGAAGACACTCCAGAAATGAGGACACCTCTCTAAAAAGAGGACTCCACCCCTTTCAATCCGGACACCTCACTAATCAGGACACTTTCTGCAAACCTAAAGGAAGCTTCTATGTGTCCTGAATCCATGGAAACAACACTGGCAGGTGTCCTAAAGCAATTATCCTTAAAATTCAATTTTCCTGACACCATTTCCTTTTGAACGCATTCCATCACGAAGGTCAACAACACCATTACATCATTCCTCCTACACATTTCCTATGGGAATTATTAGGCATTACATCATGGGTGCATGAGCCCAACAGCCCAACACCCAATAAACTATCAACATTCACAAATAAAACTGTTTTGGCTAAACTGTAGACATAACATAGCTAAGGGCATAATGGCTCAGTTGGTAGAGCCCTGAGTGCTCTGCCTTGCTCTGTATGAGTGATTCAGCCCAGCCAGCTGAGCTGTCTCAGTAGCTCAGTTGGTGGAGCCCTCTCTAGAACACAGAGTGCTCTGCCTTGCTCTGTATGAGTGATTCGGCCCAGCCAGCTGAGCTGCCTCAGTAGCTCAGTTGGTAGAGCCCTCTCTAGAACACAGAGTGCTCTGCCTTGCTCTGTATGAGTGATTCAGCCCAGCCAGCTGAGCTGCCTCAGTTGGTAGAGCCCTCTCTAGAACACAGAGTGCTCTGCCTTGCTCTGTATGAGTGATTCAGCCCAGCCAGCTGAGCTGCCTCAGTAGCTCAGTTGGTAGAGCCCTCTCTAGAACACAGAGTGCTCTGCCTTGCTCTGTATGAGTGATTCAGCCCAGCCAGCTGAGCTGCCTCAGTAGCTCAGTTGGTAGAGCCCTCTCTAGAACACAGAGTGCTCTGCCTTGCTCTGTATGAGTGATTCAGCCCAGCCAGCTGAGCTGCCTCAGTAGCTCAGTTGGTAGAGCCCTCTCTAGAACACAGAGTGCTCTGCCTTGCTCTGTATGAGTGATTCGGCCCAGCCAGCTGAGCTGCCTCAGTAGCTCAGTTGGTAGAGCCCTCTCTAGAACACAGAGTGCTCTGCCTTGCTCTGTATGAGTGATTCGCCCAGCCAGCTGAGCTGCCTCAGTAGCTCAGTTGTGTAGAGCCCTCTCTAGAACACAGAGTGCTCTGCCTTGCTCTGTATGAGTGATTCAGCCAGCCAGCTGAGCTGCCTCAGTAGCTCAGTTGTAGAGCCCTCTCTAGAACACAGAGTGCTCTGCCTTGCTCTGTATGAGTGATTCGGCCCAGCCAGCTGAGCTGCCTCAGTAGCTCAGTTGTTAGAGCCCTCTCTAGAACACAGAGTGCTCTGCCTTGCTCTGCAACTCAGCACAGCTGACTCAAAAGGTATGCCTAACTAGTTAAATAGAAGCCTTTTGATAATAAACAAATACCGCCTGCTTACACCAACACTACATTTCTTCACGACCCCCCAATAATTGGGACCAAACAAAAACCATGGTAACGCAAACACAAACCGTGGTAACGCAATAAACACCCACAAAACAGCGGACACATACTTCCGTCAATACTTGGTTTAAAAATACATTTGCCAGAAAATTCATTTTTGCGCGCGGCTTTGAAACAGACAAAATGACAAAATAGTAAAGTTCAGTTATTTTTGTCTAAACATTCACATATTATGCACACACACACACGCACAGACGTCAACACTAGCACGTGTTTTGGCATTTCGACATCAAATGCTGCACGCACTAACACTAACCATGCAAACTTGCAGCCCAAACTCCCGCAGAAGCGCTGCGGCACAAGGTTGGAGCAGAGGCGGGACACAATTACAGTACCCACGAGTGAGTGGTGTGCGTGAGCTTTCACCGAAATGTATCCAATTTAGATCCACTTTTACGCAATATCATTGGTCGGTTCAAATTGCCCTACGGGCGCACACAGAACGTGTTAAATAGCGAGCTAAAAGTATAAACTTTGCGTCGACGGCGGGGTGAGGTGGGGGGTTGGAACACTCCACCACCATCGTATATGTGTACACACGCGACACACACACATCTATAACACGCTTTGCGCGGGTGCCCCCGGCAACCCTA